CAGATACAACCTTGATTTAGAGTCTAGGATAAAACGGTAGTAAGAATCAAGCATTTTATTTTTTTAATCTTGTTTATGAACTAAGTATAATTTATATTGTGTACAACGCAACAGGGCATTTCAAAACTACTAAGAGTATAGTCTAAATGTCTTACCACAAGAAATAAGTAAGTGAGATGATGGCTGTGTTAATCATTTCTTTCTTTCTTTTTTTTAATTGTTGGGGATTCCTGGAGGGTACAAAGATCCAGGTTACACTAATTATATTTGTCAAGCAAACTCCCTCTTATAAATGTGTTCTTCCCCCAAGAGGTGTGCCAAATACCATGACCCCTCACCTCTCCCTCCCTCCCTCTCTCCACTGCCCCATTCCCCCACCCCCTACCACGTACTAGCATCATGTGTCCTCAGATCAAAGTTGAGTACATTGGATTCTTGCTTCTCCATTCTTGTGATGCTTTACTAAGCAGAATGTGTTCCACCTCCATCCAAGTTAGTACAAAAGATATATAGTCTCCATCTTTTTTAGTGGCTGAATGGTATTCCATGGTATACATATACTATAGCCTGTTAATCCATTCCTGGCTTGGTGGGCATTTAGGCTGTTTCCACATTTTGGCAATTATAAATTGAGCTGCAATAAGCAGTCTAGTGCAAGTGTCCTTATGGTAAAAGGGCTTTTTTTCTTCTGGGTAGATGCCCTGCAATGGGATTGCAGGATCAAATGGGAGGCCTAGTTTGAGTTCTTTGAGGATTCTCTATACTTCCTTCCAAAAAGGTTGTATTAGTTTAGAGTCCCACCAGCAGTGTAAAAGTGCTCCCTTCTCTCCGCATCCACGCCAACATTGAGACTTCAATGGGAAAAGATATTTGCATATTATGAATTGGGCAAAAGGTTGGTAACTACGATCTATTGATTTTAGGATAACTCGAATTAAGCAACGTAAAAAGAGCCAACAATCCCTTATATCAATGGGCAAGAGAGAGGAATAGAACCTTCTCTAAAGAAGACAGATGAATGGCTAACAAACATATGAAAAAATGCTCATCATTCCTAATTATTAGGGAAATGAAAATCAAAACCACCCTAAGATATCACCTAACCCCATTGAGAATGGCTGAAATCATTGACTTCTTAAAAGTGGCAATTCTATTCTTTTCTCTACCTAGGGATGCTGTGAATTCATGCATGGATGAGCATGAAAATACTTTGAACACTGGCCCTTGGCGCCTCTATTTCTGTGGCTTGCAGTGAACATAGGAGTTGGGGACCAGGACTCTCCTTTCTGCCCTTGGCTATCTGGGCCTTTCTGTCCTCCACTAACTGCCCTCTTGCCTGGCCCAGCTCCCAGCGTTCTTGAAGGTGATTCTTCTTTCTCTGCCCTCTTGGTGTCCTGTCTAGCTCCAGGGCCTGGGGCACCCCGTTTTCCAATTCATTGCTATCTGGAGTCTTTTGCCCTGAAATTTTCTTCTGTGGCCTGGCAATATCACTCCAGAAGCTTCTGGCTTTGGCTCCAGGCCCTGGATGGAAGAAGTATGAGAGTCAGGTGTGAGAACAAACTTGACCCTGGGCAAAAGGGATATAAGTGAGCCAGGTGCCATCCGAATGCACATCAGTGCCCCAAGCACATCATTCCAGGCCAGAGTGCTCAGACTCTTCTGGTTACCAAAGGTTTGTGGCTGTCACCTGACTTCTCTGTTCCCATCCCTAGCTTACCTATGCCTACTCTCTGTGCCTCTGTGCTCAAGCTGTCGACAAACTTCTCTGCCAAGCACATGGCCCATCTTAAGGTCTGCCTCCTCAATCTGGCCTTTCACAATGACTCCACCATGTACTGAGAGCTTCCTATTAGTCATTTTTGCCACTTTAAATGCAGCCATCTACAAAAGCAACCTCTAGGCCCGCCTGTGGCTTGTCTGCCTCCCTCCCCTCAGTTTTTCCATCTGCTCTTCTCCTTTACTCTCATCTTCCCATGTTCTTTGACCTCATTTGTATCTAAATCTCAGCCTCCTCACCCTGCCTTGCTGCTCCCTGGCAGTCTTACATCTGCAATGCATTTGGATACCCTTCTCTGGCTTAACCTTGGCTCTGCACCTCATTTCTGCCCTGGCCCCCTGTACCACATATACAAGGCCTTTTGCTTCCTGTTCCTCCACTCTTGGAGCCTACCCATCTCTTGTACATATGGTCAATGCCCGACTCTGAGAGTCCTTGCCAAATGATGTCATAAGGGAATACATAATAATTTTGTATCATCTCTTTATTTCACAAATGTGGGAACTGAGGCTCAAAGAGATGCTGTGTAGGGTTACAAGGACAGTTTGTTAAAAGAGCAGGGTCAGGCCCCAGAATTTCTGATTCCTAATGTAGCACTATTCTCAACGTTTTCATGTGTACTCTTTTTCTTTGTCATCAGAGAATGGGGCATTTTATGTAGCAGTTATGGGCTCTGAACTCATATTGCCTAGACTCAGATCCTACCTTCAGAATTTGAACTTGCTGTATGGCCCGGAACAGTTACTTAACCTTTCGGCTTCCTCATCCCCCAAATGGGAAAGGAAGGAGTGCGAATAGTACCTACTTCATAGGATTGCTCTGAGGATCCAGTGAGATGGTGGATCCAAGGCACTTCAGACAGTGTCTGTGCATATTCAGTGTCCAGCAAATGGTAACCATTTTGTTCTGTCTGCTTCCATAGCACCTGGAAATAGGTGGAAATAGCACCTCAAAAAGGTCTGAGCACATAGTAGGCACGCATAAAAACTTTGGGGTACTAAAGAGAGAGGCTCTGGGAAATAATGTTCTGACGTTGTTGTTTGGTACAAGGGAAATGATTCTGTTGGTGGATATTATATTTTAGGCCATGTAGAAAGAGAGGGTGATACCATGGCTGGGGTAAAAGGCGAGATTTGGGGCCAGACAACCTTTGGGTAACTCTTCCCACAACTCTAAGCAGTAGCTGCCTCTTTGCCCAGCTGCAGGTGTGTCCATGGGATTAAAGGCTAAGGAAATCTGAGGTCCTCAAGGCAGTCAGATATCTCCCTGACTGAGAATGTCCAGGGCTTTCAGATTCTTGGAGGCATTTTTATTTCTGTGGGCATGTGACCTCTGGGGACAACAGCATTACCCCTCCTTAGGCCCATTCCCCCCCCCCATTAAAACAGGATCATTCAGAGACTTCGCTTTCACTCTAAAATTGGGAGGTCAAAAGCTTATGTATCATAACCAGGAAGTGATGCGGAGATTTTTGTCCCCCAACCTCCACCTTGTGGGCCCAAAGGCCTCAAGGTGAAACCAGAAAGTTACACATTGCCTTCCCGCAAAGCACATAGAGTTCAGCCTGGGCCTTGAGGCTTCTTTGTTCTTTCTTTCTTATCTTCCCTGCCTCTCCTGACTGGGGAAAGACTTTAGGTTTCATCTCTCCTTGACGGCTTTTGAATTCTGAGGGCAGGATGTATGTGTCAAATCCCACAGAATCTGATGTGCTTTGTAAAGTTCACACCCGGAAACATCCTGCGTCAACACCCCCTTTTCTTCTACTTTTGCTTTTTTTCTTTCCTTTTTGGAGATTTTCAGCCCTCCAACTGATGCACTATTGAATGCTAGGAGCAATAATAATAGCCACCGTAGCAAATGAATCATTGAATAAAGACCCTCAGACATATTCCACTTGGGGTGGAGAGTTTGAAGACAGACCTCTTGGCACTCAACTTGCATTTAAAGCTGTGAAATCCATCCTTAGGGCTCCTTAACTCTGGCTCTTCTCTTGAGGCCCCCCAAGTGTCCTCATGCTTTCCTGTCCCCCACCCCAGTCTGACCATCCAAGGGTCCCCATGCTACAGACGTACTGCCTTTAAGTGAAGATACCTCATCACAACACAGGGGTCTAGTGAACCATTTTTGGCAGGACTCAATTCATTGTTAAAACAATCTGCAAATCTCTACAAAGAGATTTGCCTAGTTTCAGACGCTGTAGTAGACACGTATGGAAGATTCTTAGAGCAGAAGTGGGTGGGCATTTCCTACTGACCAGATGTTGCCAAGTGAAGAGGGAGAAGAGCAAAGTGTCACATCACTGGCTTTGAAATCATCCAGAACTGGGTTTGAGTCTCAGCTTCAGTACTCACGACTTGTTTGACCTTGTACAGTTACCTGATTTCAGCAAGACTCAGTTTCTTTTTTCTTTTTTTTTTTTTGAGACAGAGCCTCAAGCTGTCCCCCTGGGTAGAGTGCCATGGCATCACAGCTCATAGCAACCTCCAACTCCTGGGCTCAAGCAAGTCTCCTGCCTCTGCCTCCCAAGTAGCTGGGACCACAGGTGCCCGCCACAACACCCGGCTATTTTTTGGTTGCAGCCATCATTGTTGTTTGGCGGGTCCGGGCTGGGGATTCGAACCCGCCACCTTAGGTGTACGTGGCTGACGCCTTAGCCGGTTAAGCTATAGGCACCGAGCCAAGACTCAGTTTCTTCCTCTGGAAAATGGGGGTAAAAATGATAAAAAACTAAATAACAATGCCTACGTCCTAAGGGCTCCTGTGAGGATTCAATAGGATAGTACTGTAAGATCGTTTTTCATAGTGCCTGCCTGGCACAGAGCGAGGACTCAGTAATTTCCTTAATTTGATTAATTATATATATAATATTAATCACTGCTGACTGTATAAGAGCAGAGTCGTGGATCATAGCATCTGTGGATTGAAAGACAGAATAGAACTCCCCGGCAGCTGGGCTTCCAGGTCGCTAGAGACATGCCAGAAAGAAACTCTTGGGCCAAGTTCCTTGCATTTTCAGCTCCCCCAACCCTGAGGATCTAAGGCAGTGGTTCTCAACCTTCCTAATGCCGCGACCCTTTAATACAGTTCCTCATGTGGTGGTGATCTCCAACCATAACATTATTTTCATTGCTTCTTCCTAACTGTCATTTTGCTACTGTTATGAATCGTAATGTAAATATCTGATATGCAGGATGTGTTTTCATTGTTACAAAGGGGTCAGGACCCACAGGTTGAGGACTGTTGATCTAAGGTGTTAGGAGGTGGGTCTTTCTGAGCTTCTACTGAGTCACTCTGGGGGTGAGGTGTGACGGGGAGAAGGGATGGCAGAGGTGGAAGGGAAGATGGAGACCTTTCAAACATAGGTGGAAGACGAAAAGGCACAAAGAAGGAAGAAGAGGAGGGAAAGGAGGAGGAAGAGAAGATGGAGGAGAAGGTGCTGCTCGCCGGCTTGGCTGTCGGCAGCCACTTCTCTTGGCTAAGGCGTGGATATTTCCTATTGCTCTTTCTTAGAAGTGGGATGTATCTCCTGAGAAATTTTAAGCAGTCTTTCAGATGAGACAACCAATTCTTTTGAGGCTGCCTCTGTTTTCCAGGACAAGGCCATGCTCCCTGGATAACAATCAGGGTGCTCAGAGACATTCCTAAAATGGGCTTCTCTGTGGCAGGTAAGTGGAAAAGGTAATTTCCATGATTCTCTGGCCTGCTAGAGTATAAGAAAGGCTCGAGCATGTTTGGGCATCCTCTTGCTGGTCCAGGTGCTCAGATGCCCACAGGTGAGGGTGAGGAATATAAAGAGATGATCCTCTCTCCCTGTGTATATTCTTACTCACACCCATGGGCATTTTGAGGATTGACTTTGCAAAAGTTGCTGCCTATGTCATTTCAAATGATGTGCCACCACAGTGGCCATGAAATGATATCAACCTAAGTGCCCATCCATGGATGAATGGATAAAGAAAATGTGTATATGTACACAGTGGAATGCCACAGAGCCATACAAGAATGAAATCCTGCCATTTGCAGCAACATAGATGGACGTGTGAAATAAGCCCCCACAAAAATACAAATATTGCATGTTCTCACTCATACCTGGAAGCTAACAAACTTGATTTCATGGGGATAGAGTAGGGGTCCTCAAACTTTTTAAACAGGGGGCCAGTTCACTGCCCCTCAGACTGTTGGAGGGCTGGACTGTGGGCCCCGGGATGGGTCGGCTGCTAAGCAGGACAGGCAGCCACGGCAAAAACACCCAGTGGGCCAGATAAATGTCCTAGACAGGCTGCATGTGGCCCATGGGCCGTAGTTTGAGGACGCCTGGGATACAGAGTAGAAAGATTGATACCAGTGGCTGAGAAGGTTGTGTGGGAGAGCGGGAGATGAGGACAAGTCAACTAACAGGTACAAACATACAGGCAGATAGAAGTCTGCACTCTAATTTTCCATAGCAGAGTAGGAGGAGAGTGATTATGGTTATAATGCATCCATTGTACAGACGATGACAAAAAATGTATACACATCTTAGGAAAGAGAAACTACTAAATTTGTAATACTCAAGTCGCATTTCACTTGTGCAATTATAAGAGGTTGCTTGATGTGACTTGTATTCATCTTTTGTTATTGGTATAAATTGAGTATTACAATTTTATTTTATTTATTTATTTATTTATTTTTTGAGACAGAGCCTCAAGCTGTCCCCCTGGGTAGAGTGCCATGGCATCACAGCTCAAAGCAGCCTCCAACTCCTGGGCTCAAGCGAGTCTCCCTGCCTCCGCCTCCCAAGTAGCTGGGACCACAGGTGCCCGCTACAACGCCCAGCTATTTTTTGGTTGCAGCCGTCATTGTTGTTTGGTGGGCCCAGGCTGGATTCGAACCTGCCACCTTAGGCTGGCGCCTTAGCCACTTGAGCCACAGGCACCAAGCCGAGTATTACAATTTTAATTCAGTCTTTTCCTTTCTTCAAATGTGTATGCATTTTGGGGTACCCTCTGTCTATTTCAACATAGTTAGAAGAGAGGACTTGAAATGTTCCCAACATATAAACATGATAAAAACTTGAGGTGACTTGATCATTACACGTACTATGCACGTAACAAAATGTCACATGTACCCCACACATATGTAAAATATTTTGTATTGATAAAAAATATATAATATCACACCACTAAAGTCATGTAGCAGTTTCTGCTTTGAGCAGATATCTGCCCAGGGCTCTCAGATGGAGGATAAATGGCCATCAAGATTGCTTTCCTGTAGTCAGCATCCCAGGTGCTCACACCTGCTCCTAGGAGGCTAAGCAAACAGAAGTTCATGGCTGGCTAGCTGGCCCTGAGCCTGCTGATACTGCTGCTGCGTGAATGCCGGTCATGCTGACTACTGTCCAGAGCCCTGAGTTTTATATGGATGAAGTTGTTTCCTGGGTGGAACTTGCCCTTACCCCACCAAATGAATTCTGCTAGTCAGCCAGGAATGGAGCCATGTGGCTACTGGTGGGCTCCTGGAGTGGGACTTTTGGAGCTCACTGTGTGGCCTGAGGGTCAGCTGTCTTCATTTTTGGGGTGTCTAAGGGCTGCATTTCAAGAGCTTGCTGAGCATCTGGTGCTCTCCTGCCTACCTCAGGCAAGGATAAAAGGAAGGAGAGTGATCCTAGGCTCCTCTACCCTGGAGGTTAGCTTATTTTACACTTAATAAGGGGGAATGAGGGCCCTTTCTGATACTTTCATATTAGAGGATCTCAGGTTCCTGCATGAGTTGGCATCTTGAGCATTAGACACTCCCTGTAGAACAGCTGAGCAGGTGCAGGGAGGAGCCGACCATCTCCTCTCGCCATGCCTCAGAAAGATAACCTCCAGGGTTCTTCAGTCACTGCTAGACGGATACACACTGCTGGCTGAGGACCCAGAAGTACAGCAATGGTTTGAAAAGGGATTAAAGACATCCTCTTAGGAGTAGAGAAAGCCATCTCAGACAAGATGAGCATTTAAGGGGCTTCTGCATGTTCTGACATGTAGCAGGGTCCAATAGGTCCAGCTGACAACTCATTTGAGAGAAGAGCAACTTAAGTTCTTTATAAAGAAGTGTTGGGGGGGGGGGGGGCTCGGTGCCTGTGGCTCAAGTGGCTAAGGAGCCAGCCACATATACCTAAGGTGGTGGGTTCAAATCCAGTCCAGGCCCTCCAAACAACAATGACAGCTGCAACCAAAAAATAGCTGGGCATTGTGGCGGGCGCCTGTAGTCCCAGCTACTTGGGAGGCTGAGGCAGGAGACTCGCTTGAGCCCAGGAGTGGGAGGTTGCTGTGAGCTTTGATGCCATGGCACTGTACCCAGGGGGACAGCTTGAGGCTCTGTCTCAAAAAAAAAAAAAAAACGTGTCTGTGGGGGCCTGGGAGAAAGGAACAGACAGTCCCCTCTGGACTTCTGTACGCAGCTCTGTGCTACAGCTGACGTGGCTCAACACCTACCCCACTTTTGGCTTCTTCCTCAACTGGAGTTGGGGCCTGTAGGACTCCACTAGTTTGCTTTCTTTTTTTAAGTTTTAGATTGTTATGGTGGTACAAACTTTTTAGTTACAGATTTGCTTTGGTGGGGGATAAAGTCAGAGTTGTAGGTGTGTCCTTGCTCCGGAAAGTGTGTAATATCCCCATGCAGTGTACCCACTGGGTGGAAATTTACCCACCCCATCGCCCCCCTTCCCTCTACTTGAATGCCATTGAGTTTTGCTTCCATTTGACCTTATAGGTTTTGAGCAACTAGTTCCAATTTAGTACTGAGTACACCTGGTATTTGTTTTTCCATTCTTGTGATACTTAGGAGAATGGTCTCTATTTCCATCCAGGTTGCTACAAAAGATACTCAATCGTCATCTTTTTATGGCTGATATTCCATGGTATAACACGTTTTGTTAATTTACTCATGTATTGATGGGCATTTGGGCTGTTTCCACATCTTTGAGATTGTGAATTGTGCTGCTAACAGCATTCAAGGGCAAGGGTCTTTATGATAAAATGTCTTTTTTTTCCTTTAGGTTAATACTAAGTAGTGGGATTGCTGGATCAAATGGCAGGGCTACTTTTAGTTCCTTGAGGGATCTCCATATTACTTCCATAGCTTGCAGTCCCACCAACAGTGTATGAGTTTTCCTTTCTTTCCATGTCCATGCCAACAACTGTTGCTTTGGGACTTTATGATGTGAGTTATTCTCACTGGGGTTAGGTGATATCTCAGTGTGGTTTTGATTCACGTTTCCCCGATTACAGATAATGAACTTTTTAAGGTGTTTGTTGGCCCTTAATCTATCTTCATAAGACAAGTTTCTGTTTATGCCTCTTGCCCAGGTTTAATGGTTTTTTTGCCCTTTTCTTGTCGATCTGCTTGAGTTCTTTGTATATTCTGGTTATCTATTAGTTTTCTATTGATGTTTTACAAATGACAAAATAATTAATGTCTTATTACAACATATATTCACTGTTAGTTTCCATGGGTCAAGAATCTGGGCATTTGCTGAGTTCTCTGCTCAGGGTCTCTGAAGGCTATAGTCAGTATATCAGCCAGAGGCAAGGTCTCCTCTTTTCAGGGTCATCTTCCAGACTGACAGGTTGTTGGCAGAATTCAGTGTTTTCAGGCTGCAAGGCTGAGTTCCCTTGTTTCTTGATAGCTGTTAAGTGAAGGGTGCTTTCAGCTAGTAGAGGCCACCTGCCATACCCTGCCATGTGGCCCTCCATGACATGACCGTTTGGCCCTTCAAGGCCAACAGGAAAGCATCTGCTACAGCCTTGAATCTCTCTGACTTCTATATCTGACCTGTAGATCCGCTTTTAACAAGGCACACCTGATTAGCTGAGGTCCACCGACACTCAAGGAGAGGGGATTTACAGGGCATGCATACCAAGGTGGGAAAATCTTGGGGGCCATCTTAGAATTCTATCTACCGCAGACTCTATGAAAAGCACTTCATCCTATTGGATTGTTTTTTAAAAGACAAAAGCATGAGACCAGCTGCTTTCCATTAGCATTCCCCATTCTGGAAAGATAGCAAATCTGTCAAACAAAGTCTCCTGAATTTTCTAAGCTCAATCAGGCTGTGGTTAAAATTTTTAACAACCTTGGAAGATGTTCCTTTTTTCCCTTGTGTTTTTTCCCCCTTTCTCCCCCTACAGCCCTTGTTCATCCCTTAAGTGAGGCAGTCTGAGAAGGAAAAGGCAGCTGTGAGGCCTAAGCTTCTGGGATTGGCCC